TTTTTAGTATTAAAAACCACGCATTCATACGTGCTATGAATTACCATAAAACTACCAGCTCGCAAAATGAGAGTGTGCCCTTACCGGCAAGATAAAACGTGGACGAATGCTGCGTCTGCGACTTCGTTTGATCCCAGAAAAAACTGGCCGGGCAACCCGTATATATAGGCACCGGACCTTGACCTGCCATGCAGCACCGGTAAGAGATTTCTCTTGTGCGTAGGTAAACAACACATATTCGCCGCGTGTGCGTTAACTAGAGCAAACTTGGTGTCTCCGTGTTTTTTCGGAGCAAACTGGGGGCTACTATTAGACCCGTGAACGCTGCATACTTCATCCCAACCCAGGTTTCACGTCAGTGCATGGAGCTGAAACACCCTTTTCATGCATGCCCCTTCGCCACTATTTTTCCGGGTGCCGAAGATTAAAACACCTCAGTAGCATGATTCCCGTGAAGCATCGTGATAACTGACGACAACGATAGACCTCAGACTGACCATGTGGCGCTGTGAAAAACACGGCCACAACGGTCTCATCGCCTCGCTGGCCATAACTGGGCAGTTCAAATAGTTCGCGAAAAAACGTCTATAGACCCTGCTCTTTCGTTGACGTTTAGGTGAGGTTTCCTGACAATCAAGGACATGGCAAGCTCTTTCATCAATCAAACTTTGCTTCAGAAAAGTAGGAAGCTTATCGAATCAAACTTCGGGTAGAATGCAAAAGATGATTAGGTTATTTTCGCGTATTGGAACTCGCTATTTAAGTGCAAGTGAGCATAGTATTACATCGGCTTTGGGGTAAGCACTCCTACGTGCGTTCTCTAACGCTTTCACGCGTTAAATTTGGACATGCACATCATGCCAGAGCGATGAAGTGGCAATGTACACGCCACCAATGTATCAACCAGTGGTACGAAACCCGCATTGTCAGATGGCCCCGGCGATTTTCGCCATTGCAGTTGCATTCTCCACCTAACCGTCACTGCTTCTAATTTAAGCTGCTTTATCACACCTCACGAACATTTTCTACTTAAACCCGGAAATTAAAGCCTCCCATTTCCAATAGAGGCAAAAATGTCTAGGCCCGTGTGCTCAGATTTTGGTGCACGTTAAAAAAAACCCTAGGTAGTCTAAATTTCCAGAGACCTCCACTACGGCGTCTTTCATAAACATATCGTGGTTTAGGGACGTTGAATCTCATATATCTAACTTAAAGCCTTCAAAGACTACATGCGTGATGCTGTGTGGTGGCGGCCACTTCAGATTATCATGTTCGTGGCATGTGCAATGTTTATTGCGCGCCACCGCTCTGCGTTTACACGGCGCGCACCATGGTTAGAGGCTTTGTTTAGCTTCATAATCAAGGTTGCGATGGTTCTCCGTCAAGAAGACTGCAAACTATGACAGTATATTTACATTATCGCACCTTTTCATGCAACCGGTTGTAAACAACGAAAGTAATTTGTTTTTCCACACATAGGCAATGGGCTGAATCCAGCGCTCTCTCTCTCTGCTAGGTGACATCTACGGGAATTTGTAGAACTGAAGTTCTTTACGTCCGTGCCAATTAACAACAAAAAAGTAGAGTCGACTGCCCCCTTCGTAGAGCGTAGGGCTGTTACGGCTGCTCTTGTGCTAGCAGTCGTTGTGGCTAGTGAACCAGCAAACACTTCTAGGTGGTTAGGTGCCGCGTCCGACTAGGGGACAAATATTCGAAGCTCTTTTTGACAGTGTTCGATGCGAAAGACATGGTCATGAACCTTCGGCAAAAGTTTCATATAAAAACAGGAGCAACCGCGAAGGGCGCCTTCACCCACGGCGGGGCACCGGAGTGCTCGCGACGCTGCAATTGTACGGCAGGCGCCGGAGCTGTTAAACTTTGTTGAATGTAGCCGTGAAGATTTATTGCTTCTTCAGAGTGATGTTAGCTTCAATGAAATTCGGGAAAGCTCTCATACAGTGAAATTTATTGCCGAATGAGGTCTTGAAGCTAGGAATTTTATGGCGTGCCGATTCCACTTTAAGATATGCTATCGGAATAAAAGCATGCTTATTTTTGTTTTCCTCAAGCATCAAGTGAACATATAAGTACAATACAGATTTCTTTAACGGCTCTAGTGGTTTTAACGCGTTGTGGAAATGCAGTGGCTACAACATTTGACAGCACATACCCAACCTTCCAGGCTATATATACATTCGACGTTTCCATATACGAAGATATATATCCTCAAATTGCCTCGCAATTATTAAACCAACGGCCACATTAAATAAATCAGTGTTTTTAATTTAACAAGTGATGATAATCAAGCGATACATCATATGACGTTTGCCTCGTTTTCGTGTTTAATTTTGCGTGAATTTAATAATACGGTGCCGTAGGACATTCTAAGTTCGGTTGGCTATGCAATGTAGTTTATCGGTCCATTACTCTGCTGTTTAGCTTACTCATGCTGTGTTTTTCCTGCCCTTTATTATTTTTACTGTAAATGCGAAAGCTTTACTTGCCTCCTCAAGCGTGAAAATTGACCGACTGCATCTCACGCTGGAGGCATCAAGATGTGAGGAGAAAAGTTTTATTCTCGTGCTCAGGACGCATTGATATCGAAAAGTCACTTTTCACGCTTTTACTGCTTGCGCACGTTTTGTACAGCATTGTGGTACAAGGTGTCTTGCGCCGTCACTCTAGAAACCTTTATTGGTAGCGCTGAAGTGTCTGTTGTGTGCCACAGCTGTGTGCTTTGACTTTTTGAAGCTGTGAGGAGCTACATGTAGCTTCGCCTGTTCGGCATACCTTCTTTACACTTTTGGTCATCTCGGTGACTATATAAACAAGAACTGTGAGCATTGCAGTCATCGGGCTTCCGTGTTACCTAATGGCATGAAACGAGGAAGAGGTGGCCGATATGCTCAACTTCATTAAATGCGTTATTATCCATTGCAGCAATGTCAAGAGGCATGCACAGTCAAATGCAGCCTCAACAGTATTCGGCTCGTTGACTGCTTCCATTGACGCTTGTAGGCGGGCAAGGACTGCATCTTGTTGCAATGTACAAATACGCCGTGAGGCCGCGTAAAACCCTCGGCACAGCGTCACCAAAAGTATTGGAACTTCTAGCGGTGACTCTCAACAACACTTCCGATTAGCCACTGGTCCGCGTGAACGATGTCACTCTCATCGAAGTGCTTTTCGCACACGTGCACATTTGGGGATTCAAGTGTGAAACCACCGGTTTCTTGTCATGACAGTGCGCGCTTACACTTTTCCCGCCGATCACATTTGGCAGCGAGGACTCGGAGACTCTTTCGCCGATTCTTTTGTAACCGGATCGACGACGAGATACCCAGCAGGTATACGGTATCCTTCCCAATCTTCAGGCACACCACATAGTAATCATACGGTGAAACACTACGTGATGGCACGCCACAATGTTATACATTGACCCCATAGCAGCCCCATCAGCCAGATATTTTCCGATCTGCCCGATGCCCGCGCTGTTCATGACGCAGTGCCACCCCATAGCCTCCGCTCGCAGCGCACAAAGCTCTCGCTTAGAGTTACGGCGAAGCTACACGGCCAGTAAATGTACAGAAGGACTCTGGTAATAGTGTGCTGCTGAGCAGCTTGTTTTACAGCGAAAGGTGTATATGGATAGGAGAAACGAAAAACTTCAGCAGTGGCGCTACGAGAAGTCTCCATTGGCTTTAATATCAGCTACAACATTCTCACCGTCGTACCCAGCACGTGCGCCATTGGCTGCGTTGCGAGTGACGCCATTCACTCGTCCAAGCCAGGGCGTCGAGAACGCATGCATCAGTTTCTGCTCAGACTTTCCACATGGTGATCCATGGGCACCTCTAGTAGAGCGCCGACAGCGAGAACAGGTGAGCGCTCGCATTCAATGGGCCGAAGGTGCAGTGCGGGCACAAAAACAGGCTCGGGAGGACGAGTTCCGGCAGGAACTGACTTAAGTGATGGCTCGGTGGAGTGTTGAAAACGCGCGCGTCACTGTAAACCATCCTTGAGGCTGCAGTGATGATTGTATATCTTGGATAAATTCAGCCTATTTTTTCTTGTTCCGTCGTACTTGAACGAAGCTCTATACTGGTTCCAGAAGTGCAGAAATTTCTCACTTCATTACTCTCTGCAAGCATGAGTGTTTCGCACGACGCATCATGCTCAGTTCGTCTGTTGTTTGGGGAGAAATGTTATTATTTTAGGTGTAATTACTGAATTAATCATTCTTCCACATTACAAAAGAGGATACAGCGCCCCTAAACACACCTAATAGGCCCAATCACTCGGCATTTGCTTACGCATTGCATCAGTCGACAAGTTTTCCTCTCGGACGTTACTTACCACGCCAAGTCACAAAATAAATATAGTTTTCATACGATATTCAGGCGACATATTACTGGCTTTGTTATAGCTGTGTAGATACGGGGAAACAACGAACGTGAGAGAACATTCCAGTAAGAAAAACATATATCCAAATTCATTAGGCATGTTTTGATGAAGAATAGTGCTAATCTCTATTCATAATTCACATGTGTCGTCAAGATTTAAGAATGGTTTTTCATGTCTGCGTGATATTGCGTGACTGTTGCTCTCAAAATATTGTACAAGCTATTATTTGGTCTACCATTTTAATGAAAATAACGTCATCTCAATTTAGTTAAAAGCTAGCTCGTTAAATTATTATTCTTTTTATATGCGCAATCACAAATAATTTGACAGAACAGTACTTCAGTGCACAATAAATAAAGCGAGTTCAAGATTATTCTATTTTTTGGAAGCCCACTGTATAAGGGTCTTCACTTGAGTGAGCTAGAAGGAAGTATTTTCTCGTGTACATTTAAGCGATGGTGGCGTGATAACAATCGCTAATAAGAGACGGGAATGGAAATGAAATCAAAGGTTTAGTGTTCCTCCACTCAATTTTTGAGGAATCAGTGAATCTTGCCTGTTTTGCATAAATATAACTCTTATTTCGGCTACGTTACCTGAGACAACATTGGTGGCAGGTATTCCATTGTGGCATGTTCCAGGTTAGCTTGGTCCACACGGTTGATATTGATTGCCTCGAAGTATCCCGCCTGTAACCCGACCCTGTTGGACAGGACAGAGTGTTTATATGTTACAAATCGATTACCCGATGTAGTTGGTGTTGCTATACGGCATGTCACTGTAGCAATATTTCTACATCGCGAAAACTCTATATGCCCAATAGATACGGATGATGAGATATCTCGGGCCATCGCCAATGGTGGTGCTATCAGTTACGTCCTTTTCAGCGTCCTACTCAACCATGTGCACCATTGGCTGCGTGGTGAGTGACGTTATCTATCGCGTCACAACCGTAGCACCGAAAACTCGTGCATCAGTTTATACTGAGGGCTTCTGCATGGTTAACCCACGGACAACTCTAGAAGAGCGCCGACATTGTAAACTTGAGAGAGTTCGTATTTACTTGGCCAATGGTGCTGTGCGGGCGCAAAAGTGGCCCATGAGGCCTAGTGCAGGCAGCCACTGCGCACCGATGATCCGGCAGCCTCGCAAGTCGTGCTAATTCACGAATGGAAATGAAGCTTCGGTGGAGGATGGATCAAGGAAATGACGCCGCCGTGTTCGCTGGTGATGTGAAAATCTTGAAACAACGTGGCCCCGAAGAGGTGTCAATGCGAGCATGACAGCGTCGACGTGATGATTGCGGTAGCGCATTCGCCGAGGCAGACGCCCGCTTTCGGAGGCAATTTCTCTAGCGGCACTTTCACTGCGGTGGCAATGTGTAAAGACCACCACTGTGAGTCACGAATCGCGAAACGCTTTTCACCGCTCAGTGAACCGTTATCATCCGAGGCGCATGAGCGATATGTGAAAACAAACACTGTAGTAAACCAAAGCCAAACGTTTGTTTAACCTCATTAAGAAGCATAAACATGTGACCAATAATTGTGAAAGGCTCTGGTGAAGCGTCAGGTTAGGTTAAACCTATTTTTAAACACCGACCCACGCGTTCTAGCTTTGGCTTCTTGACTATTTGTACGGTGTGCTCGGGTGGTGAGATTTTTTTTATTTACTATCAGAACCACAGCGTATTCGGAGCACACTTTCGTTCTCAAATGGTCGAGAGTCCTGTCCAGGATGACGTTACATAAATGTTGCTGAGGGAAATCAATTTACTCTATCTTCTGCATGTTTATGCTACGTTACTAGTCGTTTATTGATTTGTTCTAAATTCAGAGGAAGCCAAAAAGTCGCAGTACTGCCAGTAAAAATTGCAACGCAGCTTGTACCGGATTTTCTCGGTGTATGCCGTTGCGTTACGAAAAAAAATAAACGCAGTACGTCACAAACGAGCCCTTCACTACGGCGTCACGTAGACGCCATAGTGGACGGCTCCAGAAATTTCGACCACCTGGGGTTCTTTAACGTGCACCTAAATCTGAGCATACGGGCCTACAGCATTTTCGCCTCCATTGAAAATGCAGCCGCCGAAGCCAGGATTGGATGCCGCGACCTGCGGGTCTGCAGCCGAGTACTTTAGCCATGAGACCACGACGGCGGGGCAAAAATACATGGCTTGCATCGCCATGCAGGCTCACGCAAATACAGTACAACGACACTACCTCGCACACAGCTGAGCACCTTAAAGTTTATAAAAAGCGTGAGGTCAACGTCATCTGTGATCTAGATGATAGGGCACACGAAGGTGCACTAACAGCCCCTACATTCACAATCACGACCTCACAGGCTACGACGCGGCGCTCAGAGCAAGTGGTGGCACGTGCACCTCCCTCCACATGGGTTCCCGTGTTCCCGCTCTCCCAAGTGTTTGTAACATCTTTCGCAGCAGCACGATAAGTCACAGTTCATATCTACATTGTAGCGTTCCTTCGTATCGAATGTCATGGACGAAAAACGTTTCACCTCAACTGTATGCATGACAATGAAGGCTCGTTGTCTTTGCAGGACTATGGTTCCCGTGGTGTAGCACTCGCATGTAATTGTAACGTTGTTTTTGCGCCGCAGCGCGGGCAGTACCTGTTTTTATCTACGCGGTAGGGTCTCTTCTTGCGAAACGTCGCGAATGAGAAACGATTAGCCACAAGCGTATATGTTACATTGACGGCTTATGGGCGTTAGCAAGACCACCGAAAAATTGTTGTCACCACAATATTCGTACGATTCAGGATCGTGACACAAAGACTCTGTCATATTTTGCGCCCATTCTTATAAAGTTGAAGCTGAAGTTTATTCAAAACATATCCATTTTTTTCAATTATGTTTGTTTTTACATGGCGAATAAACAATCGAAGGTCACAAAACCTCCTAAAAAAGTAAATAGCAGATTAGATTTTCAGTCACTAAACAGTAACGAATTAGCAACAATATATAGAAAAAAATTGAGCGAAAAACGTTGCGCAATATGAGCAATACTGACAGTTTGCTTGAAACAAAAAAATAAACAAAAGAAAACATTCAAGTCATAAGACATGTAACAAAAAGATTTCACGCGTTTACAAATTGAGTACAATGAGCATGATTTTAAATCGACAGGCAGCATGTTCCACAGTGTTAAGCATGAAAATCTTGCCATCATTTGACAATAGTTGGTGCGTACTTTAGGTAAACGGAGATTACGGTTGTATGAAAACTTCGTGTTGTTAGTATTCACAAAGGTAAAAGCTGAAAAACTGGTTCATTGTTAACTGAATGAAGCATGATCATTAAAACTTTGTAGCTATACATTTATGCAGGGGTAAAATGTTCATGTAGCGAAAAAGGGGGCTTGATGATGTTGAAAGTTGTTTGAAAGCGATGAGTCTCAGAGCTTGCTTTTGTAAGCGTTGAAGATGACCTACATGTAACGAATAGGCATTTCCTCATGATGGTATTTCAACATGAGAGGTGACTATGAATAAATGCGTAATATAAAGATATGAGGAATTCGGTGAAAAAGTAAGGTCGAGTTTTCACAACCACATGAATGCCGCAAGATACTTCTTGAATTAAGTCTTGTGTATGCTCGCTGAATTTCAAATGCTTGTCTATTATCACAGCAAGAAATTTTGTTGATGAACATTCACGAATGAAGTCTCCATCAAGTGTAAATGATAATGAAGCGATGTTTAGAAACAACTGCGGAATACGAAATATTATGAAATTAGTCTTTGATGTATTATTTCGTAACAGTTTCGATTCACACCAAGAATGAACGCTATTTAAGACGACGTTTAGTGATTGTTGTAGTATCAGTGGATGCTTTTGTGCGATAAAAATACTAGTGTCATCAGCACAAACAAGAGCGTTATTGTGTTTCAAACGAGGTGGTAAATAATTTGTAAATAGCAAAAACAGGAGGGCTGTCTGGATTGATCGGTGGGGAATGCCAATGTAGGTTATTTTTGGAAATAAAAAGCAATCATTTATCTCAAAAACCTGCTTCTGATCAGTGAAATAGCTTTTAATCAGCTGTAAAGGTGATGCTGATATGCCATTACAGTCAAGCTTATGAAAAACATGGTGTGGATAGTTGTATCAAAGGCCTTGGTGAAATTATTAAACACAGCTCCAAAAAAGCCCTTCATCAATTGGTAAATAATCCTGTCAGTGAAAGGTATTAGTGCAACTTTAGTCTAAGACCTAGACAGAAGCCAAATCACTTGTCAGATATTACGTTTAATTTGGTTAAGTATTTCATCGAACGGTTGTAAATAAGTTTTTCAACGACTTTACTAAACGGTAAAATGCAAATCGGGCGATAGTTGTTAAAGAATTCGCGATCACCATTCTTAAAGACCATTGTTGTAATCGTTCTCAAAAAATGCGTTATGAAAGAGGAAGCTTAGCATCTGCTGGTTTGTTGCAAAAAGTTCTTAAAAAGCATATGCGTGCAAAAAAACGATACCTTGCACAATGGAGAAAATTTATTCCTTGACTCAGGACGAGGCCGAAGCTTTTGTAGAATAGAAAACTTCTTCAGTAATGCAAATCGCTCGGTGCATTTGCGGCAAATGCAGAAATGGCACCTTGTGCTTTCCAAAACGCTCCGGTGGCCATGGACATAAATTCAACTGAGTAGGCTAACAGGCAAAGAAGAATGCTAGTACACTCTCAACTCTTGAGCTTAACAGCCGTCATGAGACGCGATGGTGCCATTTTCGACTGAATACCGTCGTCTCTATGCTCCCGACCACGTCTATGCGGTCACGCGAACAGGTCAATCTGTTATCGCACTGTTGCACGTGGTGTCCCCAGCAAGGCTTTTCGAGTTCGTCAACAACGACCACGTAATATCAATCGCGGCTGTGCATTCTCGGTCACGTATTTTGATTTGAGCAATCAAATTACTTTTTTCTTCCTACAACAAAGAAACGACAAATCCAGCTTCCATATTGTTGAAAGAAGAGTCTTACTCTGCCGTGAAGCCCTTTGATATTGAGTTGAACGTCACCAGTTGCGTCCCAGAGTATGGGGCTCCCATTGAGTTCATGACTTTCCTGACACTGTGAAATGGGTGATTGGTGGTGTAAACATTAAACTCAAAAATCTGAAAGAAAGAGAAGCAGCAAATGCACATTCATTTAGCAGTATTGCTCACACTCAATTATTTTAGAGTCCACCCAGTTTCTGTGCCACCACAAGTAGGTTTCCACTCTTACAAAGGTTCATCCCTTCACACTAAGCTCAGATTGAGGAATTAGAATATATAAAATATCTTACGCTGGCCATGTGATTTATTCCTCAATGAAATGACCTAGATCAGATTATTCTGTGTTCAATAGACGTTGTGGTAGCTTATATTGACTTTGTGGTAAATAAAAGTACACTCGGTGTGGCTTTGATTTTATGTTATAGTAAAGTGTGGCTTTGATTTAATGTTATTAGATAATTCTAATGTTCACGGTTCTATACTTTCAGAGATCCAGGAGGCATTGTATTAAGGAGTTGATAAACAGTCTTCTATAAAGGTGAAAGAATGCAGGAAATTTGAACTAAATAGCACATAGCTTAGCGCAGATCCGTTTGATCCGCATCTCATCGGGCTTCGGCACGGGATCACAATGGCTATGGCGATGACACACAGCATGCTTGTCTGAAGAAGCGGTGCCAAAGAGAGGCTGAGTGATAGGTGGATCCTAAATACGTGCAAACTTGCCACTCGGAATGTGTTGAAGTTACCGTCCTGTGACACAGAGGAAGGAACTGTGGCGGTTGCTATAGTGATGGGTACATGGCTGCTTGACTGTTTTTCACACAGCTGGCGCGCAGCTGGGGCGATTATTATGGCAACGGTGTAGTAGGGTTTTTTCTGTTAACAGACGTCTTACTAACAGCTTTAACAGCTTTGCTGTTGAAAAAGAAACTGAGAGTCGCACGTTAAGCCGGAAAGCAGGTGCAAATAAATGAAAATTTTGAACTATATCACACAGTGTGTTTTTACTCTTTCAGGAAGATGAAGTTGCAGGCAGCGCCCTGTAACTTTCACTTCCTGAAAAGAGCGTTTCATAGCTTCTCATGACTACGGATGAAAGTCACAATCTGTCTATATGGCAATCTATTACAAATATTCAAGAGAAGCGTGATTGATTTTATTCCTTATTAGGAAAGACATGTCTCCGTATCAGGAAATTTTTTATGCGGAATAAACTCCAAATTAACGAAGCGCTGAAACACCTGCGGCCAGCAGCCTGTTATATTTCGTGTTCTTCCCACGTCAATGTGTATAAAATGGTGTCAAAATTTCAGTCCAAATGTTCCAGCGTCCTACATATGAGCTATGCATATCACTGAAATTTGCACGCCAAGTGGTCTTGGCTAAATAGGGTCCTTGGAACCTGTTTCATAAATCTGTACAATATTTTTGTTATCTATACAGGGGTGCTGTGTAGGATCAGGCAAGTTTTGCGAAACTCGGGATCTTCCCGAGGTCTGGCGACACCCCCTTATAAAGGTGCCAACTGTACGAGAAATTCAAATTCACCTCTCAGCACGCTGCGTTTTATTGGTTACGATGAAAGCAGTCATTGCGTCAAGGATGATCGACTAAGTTGGGCGGTGTTTTCCAACCAGATGCATCTTCTTTCATTTGTTTGTCGTTCCACTGAGTGCAGAAGTGCGCCCATGAAATAAAAGCGCCAGAAACATTTCGTGATAGCATTTTTAGAGGCACGGGGTGTTTAATTTTTGAAGCTTTTAATGCCTTCACTAGGTTCGTTTTAGAATAATCAGCACAGTAGCCTTTGATTGATTTGTGGGGTTTAACGTTCCAAAACCACTATGTGATTATGAGAGACGCCGTAGTGGCAGGCTTCGGAAATTTCGACCATTTGGGGTTCCTTAACGTGCACCCAAATTTGAGTACACGGACCTACAACATTTCCGCCAGCATCGGAAATGCAGCCGCCTCAGCCGGGATTTGATCCGGCGAGCTGCGGGTCAGCAGCCGAGTACCTTAGCCACTAGAGCACCGTGGCGGGACAGCACAGTAGCCTTTGACATCAGTACCAGCCGAGCGTCTTACTACATTGATTGATATGTAGGGTTTAACGTCCGAGAACCACCATATGATTATAAGAGACGCCGTAGTGGAGGGCTCCGAAAATTTCGACCACCTGGGGTTCTTTAACGTGCACCCAAATATGAGCACACGGGCGTACAACATTCCCGCTTCCATCGGAAATGCAGCCGCCGCAGCCGGGATTCGAACCCGCGACCTGCTGGTCAGCAGCCAAGTATTTTAGCCACTAGACCACCATGGCTGAGAGAGTCTTACTACATCGCAACCACAGCTAAACCAGAGGCCACGTATTAGTCATCACGGTCAGCTTGTACGTTCTGGCGCACTGCTTGGTCGGTGTGTGTCTTCGTTGTTGTCATCGTCCGCTAGCGACCGAGCACGTGTGACAGGCTAATTAGCTATACTAGGGGTGAAGTGCCTGAAGCTGTGGCTCTGTCTCGCCTAGCTTGTGGTACGTGACCGCCTAGTTCGAGGATTCCCTCAGCTGGTGTGGACGGACGTATGAACAGACAGGCGGACGGACGAGCGTATGGGTGGGCGGGTGGACGGATGGATGGTTGGATGAACACAGACAGACAGACAGACAGACAGACAGACAGACAGACAGACAGACAGACAGATGATTCACAGTTTATGACGATAAACCCTCCGAAGCTTCGGCCAACTCATCATTATTTCCTCAATGTATATGCTGCGATTTTTTTGCTGGATGGTATACTTAAATAGTTATTACAGGACACACTATGACCAAGCTAATTATGCCAAGTCATGGTAAGGCTGAGGTAGTTATGCCACATCCTAAGACCATGCTATTGAAGGTATATAAAGCAAGAACCGGGCTAACCAAAGTATGCGAGTTGATGAGCTAACTAAACTATGCTAATTAACGCAATGTTATTCATGAGGAAGCGAAGTGAAACTATGCTAATTAGTCGTTACTAATATAATGACCATTATTATCCTGCTAATCAGCATTAAGTTTAATAGTTCGATACTGATCATGGTCTCAGTAAATATGCTCGAGATAACTGCCTTTTAAATATGCCTTATCAAAGAAGACAAGACTGTTTAGTACTGTAATCGTTAAGCTTCAGCCAGTTATTGGAGTCAAAATTAAGACAGAACTGATGTAGTCTTCATATCGAAGCCGACCACGCACATAAATAGTGCGAGCAGATAGGTTATCACAAATGCCTGTATGTATTCAGCCTTGCACAAGAAGAGTTAGCTCAGCAACTTATTTTATCTGCAAAGAAGCTGCCACTCAGCGTTCGCCACATCAAATGCTTGACAGTCACAGCAGCACTATCACTGTCCCGAGTTGAACTTGGGCCTTCTGCGAATCAACGAGTTCGTATCCGAGTACATGCGTCCATCAGTTTGGTTGACAGACGCCTGTGGAGAAGATCTGGTATGCCTGTCACGTCTGCTCATGCCGACGAGCAGTACTCACGTCGAGCGGCATGTTTATTCTATCAACTTTATCTTGCACACTATGTACACAAGCACGTAAAAATAAAAGTGATAGCACCACGCGGCTACGATGTTTTGCATTCAATTTCACCGCACTCACGGTTATTCAATCACTACCGCGTTACAAGATGCGAGCGCCCCTGCTGACCACATGTCCTTATAATTATCTAAAATACTTGATAGAAGCGAAATGAGCAGCACGAAAGTACTGCGTCTGCAGCGTCGCTGCATTCGAGGGTGAAAATTTCCATGCTGCAGGTGGAAAGACAGAACCTGTGCGAAAAAGGAGATACGCCCACGAACATGCCTGTGGGAGGCGCGTGTTGAATTGGCAAAAGTACAGCATGACAATCAGGCTTACGTCGCTGCACTGGTAAAATTTTGAGCGAGTGGTGACGCTGAGGTGCTCGCATGCGGTGTTTTTTTGATAAACACCGCAAATGTCCCACATGCGCTTCCAACGCCATGCGCGTTCTTGCAATCATTTTTATCAACGCTGTTATCACGTGCTCCACACTGTCTTCATGCCACGGCCACCACAAGCGAGCTCGGAGAAAACTCGCCCACTCGAGAAGCTCGGGCCATCTTGCATAGCACTCCAGGGTCACTCGTCACAGCCATCGCGCCAGTTTTAGTTTTGAGACATCAGTACGTAGATTAACATTATATCAAATATTCAACGTGGATTGGGTAGGACTACCTCTGCACTTACTTATTCATAACATCAGTTGGTAATGAGACCACGCTTAACACTTAGGGTACTTATTAGGCCAATTTTTTTGCTGCAGAAGTATTTGTAATGTTCAGCTAATTACTGTAACACTAAGAATTGTGATGTATTTCTGCTGACCTCTAACGCACTGTGGCCTATCGACTAGCGTATTTCCTATGCACGCTTGCCAATGCAGTCAAACACGGGCATAATGAAGCCGAAAAATTGGCAGATCGCACGTACAGTTGGAATCAATGATAAGTAAAGCACAAAAAAGGAAGGTTGATATATTGTTTTAAAATCAACACAACGTTGCGAGAAGGGCATACTTTTTTCGCACATCAATTCAATGTCACAATTATTATGTTTGCGCCTGGCTTTGTATTTGTCGTCCAATCTCGTCACGTAATATCCAATTGGGTATACGTGATGCTGGTGACTCTGGCGCGAGCGCATTATGAGCGTGGTCGAAATTTCTGGAGACCTTTACTACGGTGTCTCAGTGTCTCACATAATTATATGGTGATTTTGGGACGTTAAACCCCCCATATCTCTCAATTAAATCATCGCATCATGAGCGTGGCACATAGTCATCATCTTACATAACACGTATATTATGACAGTAAAACTCAACCTTCTAGCCACTTCATTTGTGTTCTAGAGCAGAGCTCTCTCGGCTGCGTAGCTGCTGTTGCTACAAAAGGGAGTGGAAGGTTTGTTGCATGGTGTCCGTCTTGTCTTGTCATGGCTGCTGCTGTCAAGGATGGAGACCACCGCTTCTCTATATGATGCCACAAGTTGACTTGATGTAAAGAAATTCGTGTACAAATTTACAAGACTGTTG